CAGACTGCAATATCGTGATTGAAGATGAAAGTTTACAAGAGATGGAAAGTGTGAGAGTGATATCGAAAGAAGAGTGAATGCAGGAAACATGGTGAATGGAGCTTTGCACTCCTTTATGAGCAGTCGGAAAGTGTCTAACAAGGCACGTTTGGCTGTGCATGAGGGGGGTGTTGGTTCCGACACTCATGTACGGAAGTGAAAGTTGCGTGTGGCAGAAGAAACATGAAAGTAGAATAAATGCAGTTGAGATGAGAGCATTAAGAAGTATGATAGGAGTTAAACTGAGTGACAGGATAAGAAATAGTGAGATAAGGAAACGTTGTGGTCTGAAAGAAGATGTAGTGACAAAAATTGAGAAAGGTATGCTGAGATGGTTTGGCCACATCGAGAGAATGAATGAAGAACGATTGACGAAAAAAGTGTATAAGGCGAGTGTGAATGGAAGTGCTGGAAGGGGTAAACCTAGGCGGACTTTTCTAGACCAAATTAGGGACGTCTTGAAAAAAGGCCAGGTTAAGAGTACCCTAAACCGTAGAGCATGTATGAAGGGAATAATGAAATTAGACGAAGCGAAACAAGTATGTAAGGATCGTAGCAAGTGGAAAGAAGTGGTCTCTGCCTACCCCTACGGGAAAGAGGCGTATGTATGTTCCTAAATAAGGAATAGCAGATAAAAGATTAGTAGGTAATAACTATTGCTCCTCAAAATTATATTTAATCTCAAGGTAAAACATATCCTAAAATTCAGTAGCTAAATAAAATAATAATACCTACTATTCAAGTATATTTTCAATATGTAAGTAAATGAAAATAACAAAAATGAAGCACCATTAGCATGTAAAGTTCGAATCCATAATTAATATTTCGACAAATATTATAATTTACACTATAAAAAGCTAATTCAATATTAGCAGTATAGTATATAGTTAAAAATAATCAAAATAGTCATTTTTATTAATTAGATAATATATTAGAATACATAATTCTAATATAATGCAACTAATATGCCGAATAAAGAAAATTAAAATATTGTAATAATAATCATTGTACGCCGTGTCTGTTTCCATAGAATAGTTCATTGACATTGAAAAAATAATACTACGTTCGTAGCAGTAGGTGGCGTCTTGAAGATTTCTTACGCGATATATTGTAGCGAGCGTCGACAGACCAAACGCTCAAGGTCGTTCGCTGGAGGTATCGCCTTAAGCGTATATCGTAATACGATTAACCACTACTAAAATGTCAGATTATTAAACCGAAAAAACTTTTCAGCCGATATTTCGGAAACTATACACTTTAAGGCAAAGTTATAGCAACCATTATTATAGAAAATAAAATTTCGCATCTTTTGTTTCCAGTAAACTTTTTTGTAAAACTTACCGTTTACAATTTATGGTCCATTTAATGAACCGGTTTTTCTATGGCGGCCAATAACTCTTGATATATTAGAATAATCAATAAAATGCATAAATCAATTTTAAAACTTTTGTTTGAAACTTTTTTTCTAATGTCCATACTTTTTGAGTATAGGACGTTAAATGCCTTTTTTCTTTTTAGAATAACAATCCAACGCGTAATTTACGTAAGAAACCCACATTTTGAAAAAATCTCACGTGAGATTGGGGGATGGGGGAGGGGGTTGAATAAAATCTAACGACATCTCATCTAAACGGTTCATCGTCACAATGCCCACCCCTAAACCATAGGCAGAAAGGTAGTACCACCACCCAGCAATAATATTAAAAAACAACATGTTAGAAAAATACTCTTCGAAGAGTACTTATGATATCGTGTGGTCAACGTAATTTGGTGACTAATCACAGATTCTGTGCTTGAATCACAGTCGAAGACAAAGTTCGTACACCACACACATTACTAGTTTTAAGGTCGTTAACCGCACTTTATACCGTTTCAAAGCAAACTATAAACCATGCCAATTACGAATCTAATTAAAGATTATAATATCAGCGAAAGAAGCGCTGACGTGTGATATCGCTACGTGTACGCTTAATATCGATAGCAACTAACATTGAGTTATAATGTACTACGTACTAGAGAAGCTATTCCAAACAAAAATTGTGCGCTACTTCTATGTCTTCGCGCATGCGCGGTAATAGTAGAGTCGCGCATGCGCAGTTGGTATAAACGCGCTTTGCGCTTGCGCGGTCAGTTTTTGTTATTATAGATTATACGTAAGTAGAATGGTCAGTATGTAATAATTGTTTATTTATATTGTATTGTTAATTATATCGAGTACTTACAATTTTTTAAAATGTTTTTTATTTTGTATATGTGCTAATTTAATATAATATTACATAATATTATGTCAGAATTACATTTTGATGATATTGTTATCTGAATATTTTAAAAGGTATCTATGTCAAATATAAAAAAACGTATTAATGTATGTTTAACAAAACTTATTAACATAAAATTTAAATTACAAATATATTTATTTAAATTAGAATCATAAATGTTGTAAATAATCGTTCATAAATGGTGGACACGCGAGAGTTAAAAATGGACGAATTTATTCCACTTTGACTTTGAAGTGGAAACCTAAAAATAAAATAAAAGAATAATAAGCAGATTTAAACATGAAAAATTTAGCTTAATTATAATAACTTATATGTTTCTACAAAAAAAAAATGTGTAGTATAATAATATATTCGTCCTAAACTTAAGTACCCACAGAAATGTCGCATCTGAACATATTAATTTCATAATCTATATTCAATGATACGAGATGGCGTCTTAGGAATAATTTGCTTTATTATTAATTTATAATACTTTTTTATTGAATAAGTATCTTATTAACCGATGAAAAGTAATTCCTTGGTTTTTACTGACATTTCTTGAATTATTTGTGCAATATCTAAGTACACAAGACGGCATATTTTTATCAAGAGATTTTTTTTAAATCAACACAACACGTGACAACTCTACAAGCGCCTAGCGAGTGACTGATTAAAGTGCAGTGCATGCACCGCAGTTGAGTGGAACAGAGTAGCTGAATGCAGTGTCTCCTCTAGTACGTAGTACATTAATAGCTCGATAGCAACTAACGTAAACTTTAGTCACTTTCGTCGGTAACGAGTAATTTTCATCCTGGCACAACAAAATCAAAATAACACGTTCAATAATTTCTTATCTTCAGCAATATCTGCTAGTAATAATGAAATGAATGCTTATTCAACGTGGTAGAGAGAGTACAAACAACTCTTTCGGTAAAAAGAAAATTTTAGACGTGATAGAGCCACACTGCAGCTATATTATGTTGCAGATCGAATAGGTTGACTCGACCGGGTAAGGACCACGCTCTCACAGAATACCAGCGTAAAATAGCAGCTTGGTGCAACTGTGTTTCATATAGTGAATGTAAAGAACCGGAGATCCTTTTCACTGAAAACGGGCATTCCATCTTAGTCCTCAGGGGTGACAACGCATCTGCATTTTGATTCTTTATGGAGAATAACATCTTTTATCGATTAATAATTAAATGAATAATAAATAAATAGAATGTTGTACATGCGACTCGAAGGACCATTAGAGGTTCTTGGGCGCTTTTGAATCGATGGCCCTTCACTCCGAAGGACCACTAGCCAAAACCTCTAACGCTGATTAGCAATCCGGGGAGTCTTCCAATTCACATCTCGTCGATCTAAGTCACACTAAGTTGGGTTCTATACAACGCAGCACCCTTCGATAACGCCTACTTCAGAAACACACAAGCCTCTTCTTAAAAGGTGGTTGATGCCTGAGATTACGGGTCCACTCTTGGTCCCGGTATCAGTGTATATATAACACAGCACCTACAGTATCCTCTTGCCATCAGGGGAACTGTGTGTCACCGTGTCACCCTTATTATATTTAAAAAAAAACTGGTGTATGGTCAATTTTATGGTTAGTGCTAAGAACCCAAGTTTTTACTGGTAACGCAGCATTGTAGAGTAGTTCTTAAGAAAGACATTGCATCTGCACTTTGTTTCACGCAGGTATTCTGTGAAAGCGTGGTCCTTATTTTTTTTTATAGAATTAGGATGGCAAACGAGCACACAGTCTACCTGATGGTAAGTGGATGCTGTGGCCCATAGACTACATTTATCCTCGATTATAGATCAAAACACAGATGCATTGTCACTCCTGAGGACTAAGATAGAAAGCCTCGTTTCCAGTAAAAAAGGTTCTCCGGATCTCTACACTCACCATACGAAACACAGCAGTATTAAGCTGCTATTTTATGCTGGTATTCTGTGAGAGCGTGGTCCTACCCCGGTAAAGCTGACCAATTCAGCTGAAGTGAGGCCCTACCATTGCACTGCATGATTTATAATAGGGGTTCGCTTTAATATCAAATTAAAGCGAACCCCTATTATAAATCATCAAACTTAAATGAAAATACTTTTCGTTTAGTGCAAACTTAATCTGACCATGTACATTTATAGGCATAAGTTTTGCTTAAACTTGTTGTTTATTTTTGTTGGAACAGTATTTTTGAACAATCTGGGATTAAGCGTGCGTTGGTGCGAGATGTAGGTGTCTACTCGCCGCAGCATCCACTAACCATCACATAGACCATGTGCTCGTTTTATTCAACTTAATTGTATAAAAAACAGGCCTGTTGGTCTAGTGGTTAGTGACCCTGACTGCTATGCCGGAGGTCGTGGGTTCGATTCCCACCCAGGACAAATGTTTGTGTGATGAGCACGATCATTTGTTCTGTGTCTGGGTGTAATTTATCTATAATATTTATGTATTTAGAAATATATAAGTATGTTTATCAGTTGTCTAGTACCCATAACACAAGCTCTGCTTAGCTTGGTACTAGATGGCGTTGTGTGATAGTTGTGGAATATTATTATTATATTATTATTGTTGGGGTATCTGTATAGTTTTCTCATCTGGTTGGTTTTTATAAATATATAACTATAAATTAAAATGAAAAGATAAATATACATAAATATCAATAAAATAAAATAAATACAATTATTATTACTTACAGCAATCTCACTGTCCAGCTTTGAGTAGACGTCGTTATGGTGCCGTCGTCTAGCGCGGACCGCCTGCCGCAGGGAGCCAGAGTCTCGACCACACCACCCTCCTACACGTTCGCCCACCACTTCCAGCATATCGGCGACCCGGCTGCCAACAAGAAAAAAACAAGGCTACAAAACATTTTTAATAACAATACGCAATAAAAATTACCTCCAAATAAAATGTAAGAGGATATCCCTACTCTTTCAAATGTTAACCTCTGCCTGCAAGTGGTAAGTTCAAAATATTGAGTAAGAGTAATTAACAGTATTGCTTATTACAGACCAAGCTCTGGCGTCAGATTAATATTGTTTTATGTATTCAAAAACGATAAACGGAAAACAGACTGCTGACGGCAGGTAGCATTATTCGAGCGAGTGTATTATCACATCTGTGTCCACCAGTCTTCTCAGCATGATATGTGCATTTATTTTCACGGGCGGAAAAAATTAACTGTAGCTTTATTTGGTTCACTCGCCGCCTGGTGCCGACATTCATTATTAATTAATTAATTGAAGTGAAAACTTCTTTAGCGGCGTTGTACATTTTTTTGTAATGGGTAAAAAAATGTTAAACTCGCGTCAGGACACGTGACCCTGATCGAAAATTCGTAAGACGGATGGAGAGAGAGAGAGAGAGAGAAGATGTATCCCCCTCTCTTTCTACGGCACGGCGAATATGTGTATGCCTGCGCCTGCTGCTGTGTTGTGTTTCGTTTAGGCGGCGGAGGGCGCTTGCACGAATGTTCGTGTGTGATAATTAAAGCAATTCGTGCAAAATTATTCCCTTATCATTCTAAAATATCAAAAATGCACAACATTAAATTTCACTTCTGCCGGCACTCCCGCAGTGCAACCCGTTGTTTTTTATTTTTTATAAAGCGTTAACCCCGACACTAAGATTTTCTCCTGTCTCCTGGAGACAGATACATACGAGTACATGAATTGCACGAAGACAAATCCAGACTCGGAACAATTATTGTAGTTACCGCAGATTTTTATATATTTTAATTGTTATTAGGAAGAGAGCTGCTGCTCATCTCCTGGTTTGTAAACTATCGCCTAGGAAAAATATTAGGCTTCGAATACCCACTTCAATTGCGTCAGAAAACGAATAACAATTCCTAGTAATGAGGAGCAACGTGAAAGATGCCAAATATCCAGCATTGCAATGGCAACTTAGTCTGTCAAACGTAACAACGGCTATTCTCTAAAAATTTTAAGAGAGGCGCCATGTCGAGCTGGGGACCAACATGTTGGCGGCTAAGCCCCTATATCTACACCGGTTGCCGAAATATTACCTTTTAAAACTTTTATTTTTATTTTGACTGTCATCACTCATCATACAATATTAAAAACTCAAATAATACGTTAAATTAGCATTTCTTATATTTTAGGCCATGACGGACTAAATCTTGTTACAAAAGGACTGATGCACTGCAGTGGAAGCGGTTCAAGTATGCGTGCAACAAAGGGTTGTTGCACATGTGAAACAGTTTCCCCGTTTTTTAATAGTACACAATACTAATTATTATTAACTAATATAAATACCACAATTGACGATTGAAAAAATGTAAGAATTTAGATTTAGGTTTTGATTGAAATCGAATAATTCTATTTCATCCGCTTGGATAGATATAGGTGCAATAAAAAACTTATTGATTCAAATTATTTTAATACAAACATTATTTTATGTTATTGGAAAGAAATATATTTTAAATAGGTAAATAAACAACTATGTATGTAATTGATTCTTTGTTAGGGAACCGAAAATGATTTTACGTACGAAAGTTAATAAAATACGTAATACAGGGTTATTTTTAAGGACTAGCCAAATTTAAACTTAAGTTCAAATATTATAAATAATAATATACCGTTCTATTAGATTTTGAAAATACTAGTAAATAAGACTTCTATTGTTATTTGAAATTATTCCACATGTGCGCAGTAAAAAGGACAGAATGTTTGAGATTTTTTTAATTAATTTTTTTAACTATTTTCCTACTTATTCTGAACCTTCTCTATAAATTTGGCCGGTTATTGCATAATAACCCTGTATAAGACATGGCGGTGATAATTAATTACGATATCTTAAAACTAAAGCTCTTAAAATTTGAATATACCGTAGAAGATGATGACTTTGATGACCTAGATTCGTAATAGAATCAGGCGTTACTTTGCGGAAATCCATTATATTTAAAGTAGGTAAGAATTACTTCGCCCATATCCGCTCAATGAAATACAATGAGTGTCTTACCTAGTTTGAAGGGCACCTCCCGCCCTCAATTGCGCCCACAAATCCCGTCACCACTATTCCCAGCACCACTACTCCCAACACCACTACACTAGGAAAGATACACCATCGACGATAATACGACACGTGTTTCGCCTCTATTGCTAAGAGCTTAGCGGTCAGCCACCGCAGAGTCTACATCACCTGAGGACGCCTCATGTAGACGCGAAACACGTGTCGTTACGTATTACGTAACTTAATTGCTTAATAAAAATTTTGCAATTTAATTTATGCCAAAAAAATCAGAAATACGTTATTATAATCACTGACTAACCCATGAAAGGTGATTCCTTGAGGTTTTTTCAAAACACCACAATAATATTTGCAATATTTAACGACGCAAAACAGCATGTTTGTATTTGTTGGCAACCGCTTCTCGCGAACGTTTGTTGCGTGATGGCGGGCAAAATTTAAGCGTTTTAAGGGCCATTTAAATTACATTTATTATCCACGATAGTAAATAGATAATAAAAGACATTACTTTCTATTGGTCGCATTGCTGTTGTATTTAATGGCAATAAGTTCGCGGCTTAAACGTCCTTGCATAGCACATTAATAGGCCATTATGTTTGTACAGCTAAACGGAGGAGCAAACTAATACTCACACCGCACACAGAACAAAAGAGTTTTTAGAGCAAGAAAACATAGAATTATTAGACCATCCGCCGTACAGCCCCGACCTAAGACCTAGTGATTTCTATACTTTCCCTAAAATAAAGATTACTCTACTATAATAAGTTGCGTGGGTGGACAGAGATTTTCATCAACTGAAGAAGCTGTGGACGCCTACAAAACGGCCATTTTGGAGACCCCAACTTCCGAATGGAATGGTTGCTTCAATGATTGGTTCCATCGTATGGAAAAATGTGTCAAATTTCGCGGAGAATACTTCGAAAAGCAATAAATACATTTTTAAATAGTAATGTTGTGTCACTTCCTTGATTCCCGAAATTTTCAGTGCCGCCCTCGTACGCTTGAACTAAGGGCATACGACAATTGCTCAAAAATTTAAAATTTAAAAATAATATATAGAAAATCCAAAATCACACACCTTTAACGCTCATGTAATGTTTTGAATAATTAATTTACTTTTATTAATTACCGTAACACATATTTCGTTTAAAGCTACAAAAAACTGTTACCGTTTAGTTAACTTAATTTTTTTTTACTGCTTGATACCGGCGACTCGTATTTTGTTACCAAAAACAATTTACAATAGTGTAATTCAAGAGTCTATCAAAGGATTAAAATCTAAAGCTAATAAAAATCAAAGTGATAAGTTCAGTTTTTCGAAAGATATGTATCTTGTACACTTGCATATCAACCTACTGACGTCGAAGTACAGAAGTGAAGTAAAGAAAAAAGAAAGAAGAAGTCGTCAGAAGTGTTAATTCAAATCCCCTCTTGCTATTGGTGTACTTTTTATTATTTAAGTGCAATATGAAGCTGGTGGAAGTGATTTAAAATGAGCAGCTCGCGATTTTTTGATTTGGTGACAATAGAGCACTACATCTCCGCTTCACGTTCGTTGTGTTCAATAAAAATTGTGATTTTGACGTATTGAAAAAGTATATATATATAACAAAGCCGCAAAAGCTAGGATTGAATTTTTCTATACAATAATAGTTAGCGAGGCAGATTTTGTTCTGTACTTTTCGACGACCCTTTGTTCTTTAAAATCGTTCAAACAAAAAATATATAGACTCAATTTTCGGGATAAAAACTATTCTATATATCTCAAGCTGGGTTACGGAGTTCATCCCGGACAAACAATGTGACGCATAATTTTTATATATAAAGATGTCTCAGCACCGACTTCAAAATGTTAATTTATTTGTTTATTTTTTTCTATGGATTCGGCTTTTAGGTACTTTTTATTGCAGGTTCCTTTTTTTAAATAATTAAATATATAAATTTTGCTCGAGACTATTGTCGCATTGAAACTTTATTTGTCATAACTTATACTTTACCGTAGTCTAGGACATGGTATACCTCTGCGTGCCAAATTTCATCAAATTCGTTTAGACATTAAACGAATGTGTGATTGTGTAACAAACATCGAAACATATTTACAAACTTTCACAAATATAATATTAACATTAATCACGGATTATATGTTAAATGATTTGACGGCTCCATAGCGCAGTGGCTTAGCAATGAGTTAAAGCGCTAAGGGCCGAGGGTTCGAATGCCGCACGGAACAAGTATTTGTATGGCTTACAAGTAATTGTTCCGGGTCTGGATGTTTGTCCTTGTTGAATTTATGTTTGTAAACCCACGATACAGGAGAAAATCCTAGTGTGGTTTAATACAAAAGAAGAAAAAAAGAAGTTTTACAGTTTTACACCCTCCTTAATATTGTGATGCAATATTCTATTAAACTATAGTGATGGGACGGTAAACCGGCACGACCGGAAAGAGATCAGGCACAAGACCAACGGACTTACGTGCTTTCCGAGGCAAGGGAGCCAACACCGCCAACTTTCGGACTGCGGGAAGCTACTGAGAATTTCTGGACGGAAAACGCATTAAATTATTTTTTGGCTCGATCCGGGATTTGAACCCGGGGCCTCATGGCCAACATGGTCAGCAGTCGCGTTTACAACTACTAGACCAATGAGGCAGTCAGTACTTTTTCATGTAAGAAAAAGCGAATTCTAGTAAAAAAAATCTTGTTACATAAAGCTTCAGATTGATATTATGTAATGTAAAATAAAAATCATTGGATTATCATCGAAGTAAATGAGGATGACCGCGCTCGCCGTACATTGTACCAATGACATTGTAAATTGCAATTTTAAGTGCTGATTTACCAT